AAAAAAAAAAAAGAAAAGGCTGAAAGCAGTGGATTGCTTATAGAAAACTGCGGGAGGAAGAACAGCAATGGCAAAAGGTTCCGAGCAGAGATATCCTTGCTTTACTGAAAGTGACAGACAAGGATGAAGCAGATTAGGACACGAGCCCAGCTTTAATTTTCCCGTCATTTTGTGACTAATAACAGATCCAAACTCTGGAGTAAAGTCGACACAAAGGTGCCAACGCAGCAAACACACAAAACAAAATCCTCTCGCTCATCAAACGCCCTCACACACTTCACTGGCATTCACTGGTGTCGTTCGCTTACAGTGAATGAAACGTAACTAATAAATATTAAAATGTACATTTTTTAAAAATTCTTAATATAAGGAACTTTGATGTGCTCTGATTCAGTTCTGCATTTCCTTCTGCCGCAAACCAACACACTAAACGTCATTTCCCATGCTTATTAACACTAAAACTATATTTAACGTCACAACACTACGCTAATATCCTCAAGCAAAGCCTGCAAAAATGCAGACTTTTGTGAGGTGTGCATAAAGAGATAAAAACGTCTGCGAGCGGCTGATAAAAGTTAGGAGCAGGACGGCCCTGATCGCTGACGTTTGACCTCGGGGAGGGCAAAAAACTCACCTCCGCACAGTCAAACTTAATCAACACAGGAAGATCAAAGGAGGAAGAGTACAGCTTATTTCGCTTCAGTGGACACATCAATAAAGACTGCATGTTGGTTAAACTGGTCTTTAGAAACAGGCTGTGTTTACTGCTGCATCACCTGTTCGGACTTAAGTCCACCTGACTCTTATTTAAGCACAGGACGTCCCACAACAAGTCAGCAGGAGACGCAGGTTTAAGTTCGATGTAGAAAAAAGAGAAACTTGGAAGAACTGGAGTTTTCTATCAGAAATTATACTGAACATATTAAAATACTCACATATGAGACGTGAGGACTCCGATTCAGTTTGGATCCAGCCTCAGCCAATCAATCAATCATCCAGTTACTTCAGGAATCAGCGCAGACACATGATCAAGATAACAATTTCCCACATTATGTGAACTCAACAGACGCTTCCAACCCTCCCCGACCGCCGACTGTCTCTGCGTGCAGCCCCTGAGGCTGCGTGCGCATCTATGTCTGCAGCCACGGGTGCTGCAGGCACTCCGCCGCCGTCGCCCTCCGCTCAGGCTGCAGCTCCAACATGGTCAGCAGGAAGTCACTAAACTGAGCCGCCTGGTCCAGTGGCCACTCGTACTTCTCCAGCAGAACCTCGAACAGACCCCACGGCTTCAGGTTGGAGATGTGACGCAGGTCACCTGAGACAGGAAGAGTGAGGCATCTGGTTTTAAAAACAACCAGGTTCACTGAATAAGGAGGACAGAAAAACTCCCAAGCTTTACCATCTGCAACAAGAGTTCCAACTTCCCCCCCTTTCTCTACAGTTTAGGATCACTGAAGGTAAACTGTCTCACCTCTCCTGCTGAAGTACTCTCTGGAGTACCTGCCAGACAAAGCGAAGGGCAAAGGAATCGGCCCCAGCAGCTCGATGATGTGAGCGATGTGATCTGAACACACAGTGAAAAGTCACACTGAGGTAGTGTAAACACAGTCAGTCTAACACTACAGTACTGTGTGTGTGTGGGTGTGTGGGTGGTACAGCTGAGTGTACTGCCAGCTGTGCAGTAGTACCTTCATCTCTGGTGTAGTCTTCTCCTGAATGGGGCTCAAACAGGTAATCTCCTGTTGCCAGCTCAAACGCCTGAAACACCAAAATCAATGATTCATTTAGTCATGTGACCACTGACTGAATCACACATCAATAACTTGTCAGGGAAACACAGATGAAGGACACACGGGTG